TGAGCTTCTAGGATTGTAGTTTTAAATAGTCTCCAAGCTTCCCCAATGGTTTTGACCCTTTCTACTTTTCCTTTCAGTTTCTTCCTCACATGTCCCCTCATATCAGAGAAGTTACCCCTTTTAAAGTTAAAAGTGGTTGTGTCAGTCTTTTTGGGCTATTTATACAAATTTATTTATTTATACAAATGTTGAACTCAATAACATTATGGTCACTGTTCCCAAGTGGTGCAATCACTTTTACATCTCTCATCAGGTCTTGAGCGTTACTTAGGACCAAATCAAGGATCGCCTCTCCCCTGGTAGGTTCCGTGACCATCTGCTCCATAGCACAGTCATTAAGAGTTTCTGGAAACTCAATCTCAAACTCAATATGGCCCGGGGGATGGATCAGGCCCTCGGAGGGTCAGGCCCGCAGTGGAACTGGCTGTCTTCTGCTTCTTCTTCCAGTTCTGCTGCTGCTGCGTCATCGTAGGTTTGCAGCTTACAGATACACACCTGAACAGCATACTCAGGATTGCAACAGCACAGACATTTTGATGCAAGAATTCAGAGCAAGAGGGGTCAGTTATCAGACACTGTGAAATAAGCAAAATATTGCAAGAGCGCTGATGTTTTAAGCATGTTTTTATTTTAAGTTAAAAAAACAACCCTTTGTGTCTGTGTCCTTTATAAAGTTTATCTCTCCGCTACCTGGCATTCCATTTTATGACACACACGGCCCGGCCCGACAAGGTCTCATTTATGTCAGATCCGGCCCTCGTAACAGATCCGGCCCTGGTCTATGGGATGTTCCACCCTGTTGATGGTACTGAGTTATTCTGTGTACTGCGCTGTGAGAAAGGTGGGTGATAAATAAATAAAATAAACAAAGGCCCCTTAATGACAACCCTGGGTGAGCAGGAACGTCTTGACTGGCAGCCTAAAGGTGAGTAGCATTGGCATAGGGTTGCCAAGTGCTGGCGGCTGGAGTGCACGCACATCGCCAATGCAGGCTTGCCAAGTCCCCCCCGGGGGCGGGGGTTTCCCCACCCCCCGGGGGGACTTGGCAAGCCTGCATTGGCACCAGGAGAGCCTCAATCCGGAAGGCACCCAAGGGGCCACCATGAAAAATGCCCCGGCTGTAGTCATCACCAGCCTCACCTCTGAAGGTGGGGGACACAGAGAGCAGGGCATCTGAGGGAAGTCCTTAGCTGGGGAGGCTGGACAATAGGGTAGAAGGGCCCACAAAGCCAATGCATCCTTCCGAACCTGTCCCCAGCCTTCCCATCCTTCCTTTTCCTCCTCACCCACTCCACCTTTTCTCAGTTTTCGTATTTGGTACTGGTACGTATTGGGACTGAACCATTCCAGGCATGTCACACCAGAGACTGGCTGAGCTTGGAGCCCAAGAATGATAGCCGACCAGGACTCTGGAACTAACCCAATCAAGTAGTAATGTTACGTACATAGCCTATCCTTGGGAGCGGGGTGTGTTTGGGTGTGGTTTCTGCGTGCTATTCAACAGGGCTGACGCCCTGGGGTTTTCCAGTCTTGTTCTTGCTGTAATCACAAATCAAGTTGAGCTGAGCACTAGACTTGAGCCTGTTTATCCATGGAACCCACTGTTTAACAGGGACCCATTTTAACAGGTTGAGCCGCACCAGACGTTGACTAGGCTACAAAAAATTATAAAACGTGTAGTTGCCAAGTCTTTCTCACTGGATAGTTTATTATTTTATACTAGAAGAAGAAGAAGAAGAAGAAGAAGAAGAAGAAGAAGAAGAAGAGGAGG